ATCGAATAAGTGAAAAATCAAAAATCCAGAAAGTCGAAAAATCTAAAAATTTAAAAATCGAAATACATGTTGAAAAATGTCAAAATTGAAAAATCCCAAAACTTAAACACTGAAAATTTGGAAAGCGAAAAATCGAGAAATTGAGAAATCGAAAAAGACGAAAAATCGGAAAAGTCCAAAATATAAAAAAAAAACCTTTAATCGAAAAATTGTGAAATCGAAAAATCCAAAAATTTAGAAACGCCAAAAATTGGAAAATCGAAACATTTAAATATATAAATCCCAAACCTGATTCGTCGAAAAATTGGCATCTGAGAAATCGAGAAATCGAAATCGAAAAATTGAAAAAACGCGAAATTGAAACATCAAAAGATCGAGAAGTCGAGAAGTCGAAAAATAGAAAAATTGAAATATGGAAATAGCTAAAGATCGAAAACTGGGAGAATTCAAAATTGAAAAATTTAAACTTAAAAAACCCGAAAAATTGAAAAATTGAAAAATCGAAATATCGAAAAACTGAGAAATTAAATAATTCCAAAAAATTGAAAAATCGGAAAAATCTTGAAAGACAGAAATCGAACAAATTGAAGAATCTAAAATTTGAAAATTCGACAAATTGAAAATTTACAAAATCGAGAAATCAAAACATCAACAAATCGAAAAATCAAAAAATGAAGATTTAAAAGATCGCAGAATTTTGAAAAATCGAATAAATAAAAAACCAAAGAACAGAAAGTCGAAAAATCTAAAAATTTAAAAATCAAAATACCTGTTGAAAAATCTTAAAATTGAATAATCCCAAAACTTAAACACTGAAAATTTGGAAATCAAAAAATTGAGAAATCGAGAAATCGGAGACGAAAAATTAAAAAACCCTTAAATCGGGTAATTGAGAAATCGCAAAATCGAAAAATTTAGAAACGCCAACAATTAAAAAAAGTAAAAATCGAAAAATTTCAATACATAAATCCCAAACTGACACGTGAAAAGTTGGAAAATCGAAAACTCGAAAAGATGAATTATCGAAAAATTGAAAAATCGAGAAATAGGAAAATTGGAAAAATCCCGAAATCGAAATATCTAAAAATCGAGAAGTCTAAAAATTGAACAATTGAGAAATGGAAGTGACTAAAAATCGAAAAATGGGAAAATTCAGAATTGAAAAATTTTAACTTAAAAAAACTAAACCGAAAAGTGAAAAATCAAAACATCGAAAAATTGAAAAATTGAAAAATCGAAACCTCGAAAAACTGAAAAATTAATTCCGAAAAGTTGAAAAAGCGAGAAATCTAGAAACGAGAAGGCAAAAAATCGAAAGACTGACAAATCGAAGAATTTAAAATTTAAAAATTCGAAAAATTGAAAATTTAAAAAATCCAGCAATCAAAACATCAACAAATCGAAAAATCAAAAACTGAAAAATCGAAAAATGTAAGGTTTAAAAAGTTGAAATATTTTGAAAAATCGAATAAGTAAAAAATCAAAAATCCAGAAAGTCGAAAAATCTAAAAATTTAAAAATCGAAATACATGTTGAAAAATCTCAAATTTGAAAAATCCCAAAACTTAAACACTGAAAATTTGGAAATCAAAAAATTGAGAAATCGAAAAGTCCAAAAATTTTTTAAATCCTTTAATCGAGAAATTGAGAAATCGAAAAATCCAAAAATTTAGAAACGCCAAAAATTGAAAAATTGGACAATCGAAAAATTAATACATAAATCCCACACCGAAACGTTGAAAAATTGGAAAATCGAAAAAATGAATTATCGAAAAACTGGAAAATCGAGAAATCGTAATCGAAAAATTGGAATATTGGGAAATGGAAGTGGCTAAAAATCGAAAAATGAGGAAATTCAAAATTGAAAAATTTTAACTCAAAAAAGACTGTAAACCAAATGGAAAATGGAAACATGGAAAAAATGAAAAATTAATTCCCAAAAATTGAAAAACCGGAAAATCTAAAAAAACGAGAAGGCGAAAAATCGAAAAAAAACGTTAAATCGAAAATTGAAAAATCGAAACCTCGAAAAACTGAAAAATTTATTCCGAAAAATTGAAAAAGCGAAAACTCTAGAAACGAGAAGGCAAAAAATCGAAAGACAGAAATCTTAAAATCAAAAAACTGAAAAATCCAAAAATTTTTAAATTTAAAAGTCGCAATATTTTGAAACATCGAATAAGTAAAAAATCAAAAACACGAAAAGTCGAAAATTCGAAAAATTTAAAAGTCGAAGTATTTAAAAATCTCAAAATTGAAATAGATGGAAGACAAACAGAAGATCAAGATAATTTAAAATCTCTAAATCTACCCATAATAAATTCAAAATTCATTTTTGTTAAAAAGTAATGATTCGTACGAATGTGGCGATTACTTGTTTAAACTTCATTAATTCACTTTTATCTTAAGAAAAGTACTTTCTGAGTTGAACATATTTTATTGTGTAATACTACAATACAGTTTCTACCTGAAGAAAGTACTATGTAACAAATCCCTGTACTCAAGCAATAAAGAAACTTTAGTCCTTGTCGATTTTTTTCCACCTGAGTGTTTAGGGAATTATGGCAACCCGCAGGGAGAGGAGTTTAATACGCCCCGCTGCTAGGTACCGACAATACTTTTGGGTGCGATAGTATAGTTTTGGAAATTTCATTCTACCTTACAAAATTAACTACTAACTACCTGCTAAATGTTCTCAGACAAATTCGAGTGAACTGGTGTGAACCATAGATATTTCTTACCATAGTACTACTATCCGTCTCATTATTGTCAATACAATTTTACAGAGTAGAATGAAATTTCCAAAATTATACATATGAAATTTGACAAAAATCGGTAGTACACAAACAGACGGAAATGGAGGGCCTGTTTTTTCGTATTCTAGAGGAGAAGACATGAAAGTGTCGTGTCCAGTCGCCCGCTGGACCCTAATTATTACAACACTTCCTTGGCTTACACTTGCGAAATAAAAAACTACAAAAATTGAACATCTTTTCTAATGTCCGTATTTTAATTTTTTTAATGATGAAAGCTATCTGAAAGGCCTTTTTGTGACAACTTCAGAGTTATAGGTACAGTAATTGGGCTAGTAATTAAATAAAACGAGCTGACTGTAAACCAGTCAAGGCCATGAATTCATTTTCGGAAATCGTAGTAAATATTATGAAAAAACCCTAAAGTTTGCTGCCTAATACTTGAATTTGTGTATATACGGGGCACTCTTTTAACCCTTGTTCGAACATGTGATTATATTTGGAAAACTATGTGGCATCAAGCTAAGTTTTTTTTTTTTAAATTTGTATATTTTAAGGTTTCTAATTTTTTCTGTGCATATACCGACATCACAGGTATGCAAGAGCCTAGCGCTATGAATGAATAAAACTGCAGTTAACTATCTCTTATCTTAGCAGATAAGAACACATTTACGATTATATGAATTCCTGATTGAAGGATAAATAAATCACAACGCTTTATATCAGTTGATAAAGAAGACCTTGAGCTCATATCATTTACCTACAGGAAACATGTTCCTTACGTTCACCTTATCGTCACACTTTTCTTTGTGTATTACAGAATGAAAAATATTTTACACGCTGTGGTGTCCTGTTTTGAAATTCAAACTTCGCGCCGAGAAGAACAACCATGGGAAACCGCATTTGAAAAATAAGAAAAATCAATAACGTAGATAACCATATGTTTAGAAAAATATCAGCAATCGGACAGGCGATCAGTTAATTCGCGATTTGCTCACAATTATCCAGGTTTGTTTTGCCGCAGAAGCAGAATTTTGATCTTCATCAGCTAATTTTTTAAGGAAATTTAACTATGTGATAAAATTATTAGCCGCTTTAATCAAAAAATGGACAATGATCGTCTCGACATATCTAAAGAGGGTTTAATTCTTGTTGACTAAATAACATGTTTATTATTAAACAGCCTCTATATCGCAGATGATTTTCTTAAACATGATTGGTTTAAAAGAAAAAAGAGGCGTGGCTTAAAGACTAAATGTAGGAAACATGTCGAGACTTGTTCACACAAGTCAAAAAATACTCTTTGATACATTTAACGTGACAATTATTACTGCAAATTTGGACTAGGACAAAAATTTAAACATTATTATGATTATTATCGTTAATGCAATTTAAATTAAGAACAAAATACCAATAAATAATGAAAAAAAAACAAACTCACCGATTTGATGCCCCGCCACTGCATTCACTCATTAACTAAGTATCAATAATTTCCCATTAAATTCGCCCAAAACAAAGCCAAAATTGTCCAAATTGTTCTAAATAAAACCCAGCCCCCAACAAACCCAAAAATTGTCACTTCGTTATAATTTTAAACCGATCAACTCACCTGCGCCTAGTTCCACACAAAAAATCCCTAAACAATTCGAATATCAAAACAAATCACTCGCGCGAAATTTTTAAAATTCCATGACACCGTGCCAAAATCAAACAGAAATAGAATTTTGTACTTGAACGCTCTTCAATAAACAAAACGTAATAGACTGTGCGATGGGGAAAGGACCAAAAGGTGGAAAGGCAGCCTCTAGTGGACAAGGGGACGTAAGTATTCACCACATTTTGCTAAAAATCGCTTGAAAGCGAGGTTCCATCTTTAGAAAAAAGCTCCACCGACTGCAGCCAAAACAAGCGGAGAGCCGAAGACCGCGAGCAAAGAGAGCACTCAGAAAGGGGGCAAAAAAGGTAAGGGCCCCATTTAACCCAAACTAACCCCACTAATAAAACACTTGTTGTTGCAGGAGGCAAAAAATGACCCAGAGAGCACCCACAACCACCCATTTGTTGTAAATTTAAAAATTTAGCACATTTCGTTTCGTTTCGTTTGACTGCGTTTGAATGATTTTAAATCTGTGACATTTGTCACATCCATGTTGGGTTGTTCCTGAAAAAAAAAACTGTTTGTATGCGAATAAAGCGCTAGTTTTCATTGTTCGTCTTTCATTCCAATTTTGTTCTAATAAATAAAAAATAGTAAAATAGTTGGAAGGATAAAATTTAAACCGGTGCCAAATTTGACACTTGACAGCCATCAGCCCCCATCAACTGTCACAATAGCTAACGTCAAAAGTGGTGTTGATAAGTATTTAATCGTAAAATCCACTAATCAGTCTTTTCAGGGTCGCGTATAATGACCGAACTTTAATCTTGCCTAGCCTGGAGCCGCTCGTGGTCGAGGAAACATGTTCATGGTAACAACCCGCACATAACCTCACTTTTGTGCAGTCGCCCCCTTGAGCCGCACCATGCCGTTGCCTCAAAACTTCAACGCTTTACTCGGTGCCGGCGTGTTCGGGATCGTGTGCGCAGCGACGCTGTACGTGGTAGAGCACTACCGACAGGACCGGAGACGACATGCCATGGCCAAAGACCTGGCCCGCTTAGACTCGGAGTTGGCGGTGCTGCGGCGGGAACTCGACTCACTCTTAGCGCAGCAAAAGCACAAGTATTTCTATGATGTGTTAGGGTTAAAACAGATTGAGTTGTGGCGTCTCTGTAGGGCCACGAAACGTGTGAAACGCAACAAAGAGGTGTTCATTACGTCGTCGAGCACCACGGAGGATTACACGTCGGCGGTGGACGCGGACAGCTCGGATTTGGAGTTCTACGACGTCAGCGACGACGAGACGGCCGATCGGATTAATGGGGATTTGGTAATTTTTTAAGATTTTTTTGTTGGATGAGAGAGAGAGTAAGTGGGCGTTTTGTAAGCCGGAGATTGTCTTTGAAAGGAGGTTGTGGGGTGGATAGTGTTAATTTAATCAATGGTTAATATAAGGCATAAGGGGCTCCAATGTTTAGATGAACAATATCAAAAGGAATGATAAAAATTTAGCGTCATCATAACAGTAAATATTATTGCAAGATATTCCAAGTGATAAGGTGTGATTGCATTGTTTCATACTTGGTTAATTCTTATTTAAAATAGTGGGAATGGGCTCGATAAAATGGCGTATTGTTGGTTGCATAAATTTAAACCAATTATGTTTGTGAAGTTTTGTGTTGTCAAATTTTTGTGAAAAATTCCTTCATAACTGTAAAAACGTTAAAGCATGTGTCAATTTAAATAATAAAGATAATGGAAGAAGAGGAAGAAGAAGCTACAAGTAGTTATTTCAAGGCGGAGGCAACGTCTTATGTAAGATCTTCAAATTTTTGAGGTAAAAGTAGATTTTTAATGAAAGGGTTTGACGTTTTATGAAATATTACGTTGCTAGGGATTATAAAATTAAAGTTAAAAATCCAGTCGTTGAAAAACAATGGTAACTTGCGTGAGGTGGTAGAAAGAAAATATATACCGGGTGTCTAGAAAATGGCCGATTAACTCTTCATTACGTCATAGATTAATATAGATGCGACATACGGGCTGATTTTGCAAAACCACTCTTATTGACATTGGAGTCCTCAACCGCCAAATTTAAATAGTCGAAATAGTTGTTTGGTCGGTTTTTATAACGACTAAGCGAACATTTTTGGTACATATTTAGATGATTTTACATATTTTGTTTAACTAAGAATTAATTCTTTATTTGTGTTTTATACTAGTAAAACGTCTTAAACTAAGAATTTTGTTGAGATCGTAGTAACCCAATGGATTTTTTTCGGGAAAATGTTTTGGAAACACTGTTCTATTTTGTATGAATTTTTATTAAATGTTTTTAGTGACAATTTTTGTATGGTATTAACAGTGAGAAAAAAAATGAAAAACAAAAATAATCGAAAATTCGAAACCTTAAAAAATCGTAAAACCGAAATATTGAAAAATCCAAATATTGAAGAACTGAAAATCGAAAAATGTAACATCAGAAAATCGAAAAAATGCAAAATTCAAAAATCTAAAATCTAAAAACCGAATAACGAAAAATCGAGAAATCGAAACCCCCAAATTTAAAAAATCGGATAATTGAAAAATCGAAATACCGAAAGACTGGAAAAACCAAGAAATCGTGGAGTCGAAAAGTCGAACAATTGAGAAACTGAAATAGGCCAAAATCAAAATATCGAAAAATCCAAATAAATAAAAAATAAATCGAGAAATCAAAAAAGTGAAGTCGAAAAATAGAAAAATAGAGAAATCCACAAACAAAAGGTTAAAAGTTGAAAAACTGGAAAAGCGGAAAAATCAAAAAACGAAAAAATGGAAAACTGGAAAAACTGAGAAACCGAAATAGGCCAAAATAAAAAATTGAAAAACTGAAAAACAGAACATCTAACCAGGACGTCGAAAAATCGAAAGATTAAGAAATATTGAAAAATTAAAATATCACAAGATTAAAAAATCTAAAATTTAAAAATCCAAAAATTGAAAAATCGACAAAGTAAAAAGGTAGACACATCGAAAAATCCAGAAGTCAAAAATAGAAAAGCCGAAGAATTCAAATATTGGAAAATCCTAAAACTGAAAAAACGAAAAATCAAAAAATTGAAGTCGAAAAATAGAAACCTAAAAAAATCGAAAAATTGAAAAATCAAAAAATTAAAGAATTGAAGAACAGGAAAATCGAAACACTCGAGGGTCAAGAAATGGGAAAATCAAAACATCGATTAATTGAAAAATCGAAAAATTGAGAGTTCATAAAAGTCAAATTTGAAAAATTAAAAAATCGAAAATTTGACAAATTGACAATTGAAAAAAAGAAAATCTAAAACCAGGAAGTCGAGAAATAATAAAAAAAAAAGATTAAGAAATCGAAACACCTGAAAAATTTGAAAACTTGAAAAATTGAAATATCGAAGAACTGAAATGAAACATCGAGAAATCGAAAAATCTAAAATTTTAAATATTCAAAAATTAAAATATCAAAAAACTGAGAAATCTAAAATTTAAAAATCGAAGAATTGAAAAAATGACAATTGAAAAACAAAATCTAAAACCGGGAAGTCCAAAAATCGAAAGATTAAGAAATCGAAACATTTGAAAAATGCAGATATGGAAGAGCTGAAATGAAAAATCGAGAAATCGAAAAATAAAAAATTTTCAATATTGAAAAATTAAAATACCGAAAAATTGAGAAATCTAAAATTTAAAAATCGAAAAAGTAAAAGGTCGACACATCAAAAAATCCAGAAGTCAAAAATGGAAAAGTCGAAGAACAGAAATATTGAAAAATCCCAAAACTGAAATATCGATAAACTGAAAAATGAAAGAAAAACTGACGAATCGAAAAACTAAAAAATCCTAAAACTGAAATATCCAAAAACTGAGAATCTAAAGAATCGAAAAATTAAGAAATCAGAAAATCAAAAAAGTGAAGTCGAAATATCGAAACCTTAAAAAAATCGAAAAATTGAACAATCAAAAACCTGCAAAATCGTAAGATCGAAAAATTGAATAACAAGTAAACTGAAAAATCCCAAAAGTGAAATATCAAAAAAGTGAGGTTGAAAAATCAAAACCTGAAAAAATAGAAAAATTGAAAAACCAAAAAACCTGAAAAATTAATTAATTGAAAAATCGACAATTAAAGAGTTTATAAAAGTCAAAAATTGAAAAATAGAGAAATCGACAAACAAAAAGTTAAAAATTGAAAAATTGGAAAAGCGGAAAAATCGAAAAACGAAAAAATGGAAAACTGGAAAAACTGAGAAACCGAAATAGGCCAACATAAAAAAATTGAAAAACTGATAAATCGAAAACCTGAACAATCAAATCTCGATAAATCGGGAATGAAAAATTAACAAATCGAAAAATTGAACAACAGAACATCTAAACAGGAAGTCGAAAAATCGAAAGATTAAGAAATATTGAAAAATTAAAATATCAAAAGATTGAAAAATCTAAAATTTAAAAATCCAAAAATTGAAAAATCGAAAAAGTAATAAGGTAGACCCATCGAAAAATCCAGAAGTCGAAAATAGAAAAGCCGAAGAATTGAAATATTGAAAAATCCTAAAACTGAAATATCTAAAAACTGAAAAATCGAAAAATCAAAAAATAGAAACCTTAAAAAATCGAAAAATTAAAAAATCAAAAAATTAAAAAATTGAAAAACAGGAAAATCGACACACTCGAGGGTCAAGAAATGGGAAAATCAAAACATCGATTAATTGAAAAATCGAAAAATTGAGAGTTTATAAAAGTCAAATTTGAAAAATTAAAAAATCGAAAATTTGACAAATTGACAATTGAAAAACAGAAAAACTAAAACCGGGAAGTCGAAAAATGAAAAGATTAAGAAGTCGAAACACTTAAAAAATTCGAAAACTTGACAAATTGAAATATCAAAGAACTGAAATGAAACATCGAGAAATCGAAAAATCAAAAATTTTCAATATTGAAAAATTAAAATACCAAAAATTGAGAAATCTAAAATTTAAAAATCGAAAAAGTAAAAAGTCGACACATCGAAAAATCCAGAAGTTAAAAATGGAAAAGTCGAAGAACAGAAATATTGAAAAATCCCAAAACTGTAATATCGAAAAACTGAAAAATGTAAGAAAAACTGACGAATCGAAAAACTGCAAATTCCAAAACTGAAATATCCAAAAACTGAGAATCCAAAGACTCGAAAAATTGAGAAATCGAAAAATCAAAAAAGTGAAGTCGAAATATGGAAACCTTAAACAATCGAAAAATTGAACAATAAAAAGTCTGCAAAATCGTAAGATCGAAAAATTGAATAACAAGTAAACTGAAAAATCCCAAAACTGAAATGTCCAAAAACTGAGAAATAAAAAAATTGAAAAATTGAGAAATCGAAGAATCAAAAAAGTAAAGTTGAAAAATCAAAACTTGAAAAAATTGAAAAACCAAAAAACCTGAAAAATTAATTAATTGAAAAATCGACAATTAAAGAGTTTATAAAAGCCAAAAATTGAAAAATAGAGAAATCGACAAACAAAAAGTTAAAAATTTAAAAACGAAAAGCGGAAAAATCAAAAAACGAAAAAATGGAAAACTGGAAAAACTGAGAAACCGAAATAGGCCAACATAAGAAATTGAAAAACAGAACATCTAAAACCAGGAAGTCGAAAAATCGAAAGATTGAGAAATAGAAACATTTGAAAAATTGAAATATGGAAGAGCTGAAATGAAAAATCGAGAAATCTGAAAATCTAAAATTTTAAATATTAAAAAATTAAAATACCAAAAAATTGAGAAATTAAAATTTAAAAATCGAAAAAGTAAAAAGTCGACACATCGAAAAATCCAGAAGTCAAAAATGGAAAAGTCGAAGAACAGAAATATTGAAAAATCCCAAAACTGAAATATCGAAAAACTGAAAAATGTAAGAAAAACTGACGAATCGAAAAACTGAGAAATCCCAAAACTGAAATATCCAAAAACTGAGAATTCGAAAGTTGAAACAGCAAGAAATTGTGGTCGAAACCGGTTAGGAAGTGTATCAGATCACGGATCATGGCTTATAAATCAAATCGTTTCCGAACGCTTAGAGTCGACATTGGCCTTAGTGCGCTCTGGTCTGTAGATCAAACGAGTTCTCAGACGACGAACTGTAATTCGTGTGACCCGAATTAAAGTGAAGGAAACAGTAAGCAAACGCGTCGTTAAAAATATTATGACATTTTTTTCTAGTTAATTTTATTCCTAGTTAGAAACAAACACTGTTGCCAACATAAGTCGAGGAGTCATTTAATTTAAACTATGACGCTTCTCTACGTTCTCTGATTACGTAATGTAGGGGCTTTCGGGAGTCCCAAAAAAATAATAAAAAAATCTTTATGAAGTAGATTATGAAAAAAAAACAATTTTAGAAAAGTAAAATTGGCAACGCTGCACGCACCTAATCGTGAATACCTCCGGCTTACTTTCTAATTTCTTAACGATGGTGACTTAAATCCACCTTAAACAAAGTATTATTTTTCATTAATAAATAAACCAAAAAAAAACATTTAATAAGACATTTATAAATTATAAACAAAGACGAAGCCAATAACAGAAAAATCCATTAAAGCATAACCAAATAAACAATAGAAAAGATGTTCAAAATTCCTGTCTTGTGCATATAAGTAATGGCATACCCTCTAAGAAAAGAGAGGGCGGGTGGGCGGTACTAATACCTGCTAAGATAAAACTGATTTTTTTTTTAATTGTCCAAATTCTCGTACATTTTTTTCAAGTTTTCTAAACGCTTGATTTCAGGGAATTCTTCTATTGGAATATTGCCTGAAGTACAGACGAACAGCAGCATCAAAATTTTTGTCACACTTTCCCAGTATTAATAGCATGTCTATTTTTTCAGAATTCGAAAACATTTTAAAGCAAACGATATTTGAAAATATTTGGCTGACAGAAATAATTTGTCATAATTTTGGTTCGCGTGAACAGATAAAATAAACACCCTGTATATCCCCAGTTCTAATTCGGTTTTATGATGTGTAAACGTTAACTTTCTTAACAATAGATTACTACCGCTGGTGATGGGACAGTCATAAATAAAGTAGTGATCTATTGTTAGGGAAATTAACTTTTACATAATAGGGTACTATCATAAAACCGAATTAGAACTGGGGAAACTATACAAACTTACCGGCTCATAATTGTTTTTATCATAATGACGTATTGTTAGTGTTAGGATTGATAATAGTCTCGACATGAGGTTCCACTTTAATAGAATAGATCATAAAACCGGTACAGATTAATTATTATTAACATTTGTAACAGCTGACGACGGGGCAAAATTCGAGAAATTTCGAAGCCAACTTGATGTTTGTGCAACCCAAAATACATTTTCAAATGATACTTCGCGAGTGATTCATTTGAATATTTTTTGAAAAACAAAAGTTATCTAATTCTAAGAACGGTCAAATTGATTAGTGAGTTTTTCAAATAATTATTCTAATCTAAAATATTTACAAACCGCATTTGCATTGCACATTTCTGGGGTTAATTTAATAATATTTAAACAAATTGCTTTGTTTTTAGTAACTTTGCGTTTTGAAGAAAACGGTGGTCGATTTAATTATCATATATTAATACTTATCGTATTTAATTATATCGTGAAAATGTATAGCTTTACTCGACCAACTTCAGTCGTTTCGAAAATTTCCCAAAATTTAAACATTGTCGAGTAAACGAATCACGCAACCTGATAAATTAAAACTGAAGTCGTACTTACCCTGTTTTCAGTCCTTTTCGGAAAAATATCCGTTTTCTTCCGTGTTCACAACAATAACACAACACATTTTGCCTAATATTTGTTAACAATAAATTAGAAATTCGCGAAATTGCTCTACTTTTACGCCAAAAGGACGCGACGATCTTGTCGCCATCAAACAGAAATTAAAACTGAACACAAAGGACCGAAAAAGGTGACCTTTGGACGGGTAGCTCACGTGACAGTGACGTCATCGCACGTCACGATGAGATTGCAAAAATTATTTTTCATATTTTAGCGGGGAAATTAGACATTTTCAGGATTAACTTAACAATATTTAAATAAATTGCTTTGTTTTTAATACCATCGTGTTTTTGGTAAAACGGTTTTCGGTTTGATTATCATATATTAATAGTTACTTACCGTATTTGAGCATTATAAATAATATTAATTATGTCTAAATTTTATTTAATTATATCGTGAAAATGTATAGCTTTGACCGATCAACTTCAACCGTTTCGAATTTTTTTCCAAAATTTAAACATTGTCGAGTAAACGAATCACGCAACCTGATAAATTAAAACTGAAGTCGTACTTACCCCGTTTTCAGTCCTTTTCGGAAAAATATCCATTTTCTTTCGTGTTCACATCACCAACATAACATATTTTCACTAATATTTATCAATAATAAATTATAAATCCGCGAAAAGAGCCTTTTTTTGACAAAATTTATAGAAAACTTGATGTCGATATTTTCATTTATTGAATTGTACTTAAGGGACGAGGGAAGTTGTCGAAATAACTTTCGACCTATTTTTTTTTATATACTAAGTTAAATAAACTAACATTAACTAACATAACCTAACTTAGTTACTAATGTTTTTGCGGTAAGCATAATAGAGGCTATAATAGTGATAACTTTCCATTGTCGAACGAAAGCAATAAATTATACAGGGTTATTAAAAATTGTAGAAGCAGTTGTATATTAAAGAAAGAAACAGAAAATGATGACCATAGCCCACTCATAATTATTAAAAAATATATACATCTTAAGCATACAACCTGTGAAAAATGAAACAGCCCGCTTCACTCTCCTTCGATTACTTTTCAAACCAAACTAATTCCAACGTGTCCACCCTCAGGACCTAGAACGTATCGACAAGACCCTCGAGGAAGGCAACATAACCGAGCTCGAATCCTGCGTCCTCGAGCTCCAGAATCTCTGCCTGGAGTTCCCCGAGAACCCGCAACTCTTATGGCGGCTAGGCAAAGCGCACTACCGACTCTTCGTAAAGACTGAGCAACAAGACCACATAGCCAAAGGTATCGAAGCCTGCGACACAGCTCTCAAACTAAAACCCGAGCTAGCCAACGTCCACAAATGGTACGCCATCCTGGTGGGCGAGCGCTCCCAGTTCCAGCCAATGAAAGAAAAGATCCACGACGGGCACCTGTTCAAGCAGCACGTGGATGCCGCGGTTAAGCTAAACCCGATGGACCCCACTTTGCACCACATGCTGGGTCGATTCGCTTATGACGTGGCGGAATTGAAATGGTACGAGAGGAAAGTGGCGTCGGCGTTGTTCGCGGAACCACCCAGTGGTACTTACGATGAAGCTTTAGAGCACTTTTTGGCCGCCGAGAATCTGTCGAACGACGAGTGGAAGGCAAATTTGCTGTATGTTGCCAAATGCAAGGTTAAGTTAGGGGCTGTTGAAGAGGCTGTGGTTATTTTAGAGAAAGCGGAGAAGGTTGAAACTGGCAATGGCGTGGTGAGTATGCGCGGAGGAGGGAGGGTTGGTTGATTGGTTTGGTTTCAGGATGATCAGACGGATGTGGAAGTTAAAGAGTTGCTGAGGAAACATAGACGGTAGATAATTTTAGGTGGTTTTTAATTTGTAGTGTCGTATGTTGAGGAAAATTTTAAGGATGGATTGGGGCGGTTGTTTTACTGGTATTTTATACAACTTTTTATGGGCATAGCATTCCAAATAAAATACACGGGTTACGAGGGCGGTTTTATTTCTGAAAAAAGGGTGTTTTGGAATCTTGACGTAACTACATAGAATTGGTGTTGAGTGTCTTCCTTTCGTCATATAGGTATATAGGTGTGGATGGCTGAGGTTATATTAAAATGCATAGATGTAGAGATGAGAATGTATAGTAACCCCAAAATGACCCACAAGATTTGGTTCAATAAAGAGCAAGATAAAAAATTATTTATTCCTCCACTGACAAAAAAAAAAAGCTGCGACTAAGTTGTGCCGGTTGAAAACACCTCTTAATGCTCATCTCCAAAAAAAAACTTGTCTAACTTTAAATGAAATCAAATTAAACGTTTCAAATCAATGCAAATATTTGAAAATCACAAATTTAATAAAAACAAAGAAACTGAATTAAAGTAGCTGGATGCAAATGCGCACAACTCTGTCCAGCAGGGCGCTATAAGAGTGTGGCGATCAAAATTTCCCATAGGGGGTGTTGTAGCACGAGCCGAGTTTGGGGCTCCTGGTCGTGGCTGTTCTCCCCACACGACGGTGATTCTATTCTATCAGCAAGCACTGACGCACAGCACCCCTCCATTACGAACATAGCGTACGAGCAGCCCGTTACGATCGCAAGCTCGTGGTTGGGTCCCGCCTATCGATAAGCCGACAGCGTCACGTAATCTTCGCAGAACAGGTAATCCCTGCCGCCTTCATCCTTTGTGCAGATGGCGCGATCGTCAGCTCGACAAGGAACCGCGCACTCCGCCACCTCAATTCCATTTTAAGTTTCAGAAAGAGCAATAAAGATTATTTAAATTCGCCATACACTGTCGTGAAATTTGAAACAGCAAAGAATTCTTCTCTGAGATTAAGATTGGACATCAGACAATTTAGATGATGGAAACATTAATCAACAAAATATTGACAAAAAAAAACTAGCAAAGATTTATAAAAACAGAAAAAAAATTACTAAATTATACAATATAGAAAATTACTGAAGTTAAAAATTGTGAGATAGAGAAAAATTGTATGAGGTGAAAAATTGCAAAGCTATCAAAATTACATGAGCTTAATATTTACCACACTTTATCAAGGATTCAAACAAAGAATTTACCTGGTGTTAAATTACGCCACACTTTATCAACGATTGAAACAAAGAATTGACATGATGTTGAATTATACCACACTTTATCAACTATTCCAACAAAGAATTTAGATGATGTGAAATTATGCGGCAATGTCACGGTTCAAGTTTAATTTAGCGCCAGAAAGAATGATATTTTTACTTCCCGAGCGTAAGCAAAGGAAGTATTGTAATCGAGTCCGTCGGCCGACTCTCTACTTTTACGTTTTCTCGATCTTTCATGACCCCTAGAAGACGAAGAAATAGGTCTCCCATTTCCGTCTGTCTGTCCGTCTGCCGTCCCGGATTTTTATTAGACAGATAATCTCCGAAAGTTCTCGACCGATTGTTGTGAAATTTTGTACTTATATTAAGAATATCATGTAGATGGTAAAACGCTAACCAAAATTTGTCAAATCATCCCCACCACTAATGCGATGACGTCACTTCAAAATTGTACATAGTAAATGGGTTTTCAATTGTGTAAAATAACATAGTCCTACACATGCAGTTTACAACTCCGAATCGACTTTTCACCCGAAACGTCCAGATTTTTGGAAAAAAAATCAAAATTATAAAACAACATTTTGAAATTTAATTTTTAATCTGCTAACCAGAATGCTTTGAAATGTTGCAGATGTTTTAAGGCTATAAAGAGCATCATAAATCTTTAGTCAAAAAATATTTGCTTATCCCCTCCAAAAACTTGATGACGTCAGCTCAAAAGTTTGTGAAATAAATCATATCTAAAATGTACAAAATATGATGAGTCTGTACTTGTAATCTATCACTCCATTCATATTTTTTGGATTTGCATTTACAGGGTGACTCAAAAAAATTAATGAATGCGTAAATATATTTTATTGATTTAATCAGGAACTACAAAACCGAATGCTCTGAAATCTTGCAGATGTTTTAAGGTCATAAAGAGCATAATAAATGTTTAGTCAAAATATATTTGCTTATCCCCTCCAAAAACTTGATGACGTCAGCTCGAAAGTTTGCCGAATAAATCATATCTAAAATGTACAAAATATGATGAGCCTGTACTTGTCATTTATCACTCCATTCATATTTTTTGGATTTGCATATACAGAGTGACTCAAAAAAATTAATGAATGCGTAAATATATTTTATTGATTTAATCAGGAACTACAAAACGGAATGCTCCGACATCTTGCAGATGTTTTAAGGTTATAAAAAGCATAATAAATGTTTAGTCAAAATATATTTGCTTATCCCCTCCAAAAACTTGATGACGTCAGCTCGAAAATTTGCCGAATAAATCATATCTAAAATGTACAAAATATGATCAGTCTGTACTTGTGATCTATCACTCCATTCATATTTTTTGGATTTGCATATACAGGGTGATTCAAGAAAATAAATGAAAGCGTAAATTTATTTTACTGATTTACTCAGGAACTACAAAACCGAATGCTTCGAAATCTTGAAGATATTTTAAAATTATCATAAGCATGGTAAATTTTTGATCAAAACGTATTTGGTCGTCCCCCCTAAAAAATTTATGATGTCACCACAAAATTTTGCTGAATAAATCCTATCTAAAATGTACAAAATATGGTGAGTCTCTTCTTGTGATTTATCATTCCATTCAAATTTTTTCGATTTGCATATACAGGGTGACTCAAAAAAATTAATGAATGCGTAAATTTATTTTATTGATTTTTAATCAGGAACCACAAAACCGAATGCTTTGAAATCTTGCAGATATTTTAAGGTTATAAAGAGCATAATAAATTTTTAGTCAAAATATATTTTGTTGTCTTCTACAAAAATCTGATGACGTCAGCTCAAAAGTTTGCCGAATAAATCGTATCTAAAATGTACAAAATATGATGAGTCTGTACTTGTGATTTATCATTCCATTCATATTTTTGGATTTGCATATGCAGGGTAACTCAAAAAAATTAATGAAGGCGTGAATTTATTTTATCGATTTAATCAGGAATTACAAAACCGAATGCTTTGAAATCTTGGGAATATTTTAAAGTTATTATAAGCATGGTAAACTTTTGTTCAAAATGTATTTGTTCATCCCTCCTAAAAAAATTGATCGCGTCACCCTTAAATTTTGCTGAATAAATCCTATCTAAAATGCAAAAAATATGATGAGTTTGTACTTGTGATTTATCATTCCATTCATATTTTTTAGATTTTCTTAAGAGGTGGTTAAAAAAAATTAATGAAGTCAATTTATTTTATTAATTAAATTAAAGGCAACACTTATTATTAGTATTACACCCCAACCAACCCAATTTGGTAGACACAAAATTTGTTAAAGGAAAAACTCTGTTGAAACTACTACCCTTAGCACGCTTATTTACATCGACTTTAACATTACAGACCTGCATTTGTTTTATGCGTTCACTTGGTTCCGCGAATGTGAAATAGACATGTTTATAATCAACCAATTGTGAATTTCACCGTCAAGAATTAAAATAAAACCCAATGTTTTATATAATAAGCGGAAGTCGAAGCAATAAAACCGATGGTCGTTTTGTTTACAGTTTCTCTGTTTGACTCTCACGTATGCTGTTACCCCTGTCATCTTAAATTAAGAATGTTTATACATACACGATTTTCAGTTGCCTCTGATACGTATACGTGAGTAAATTGTTTCGTTATTTTATTGATTATTACAAATCAATATTCAAAACGACCCAATTCATTTTCCCGAAAATTTGAGAATATAATAATTTTATTCTTAGTATTACACTACATCTATCCCAACTGATATACGTGTTCTTGCAAAAATGTTGATGACGTCATCGCAATTTTTTTTTAAATTCCCACTACAAAAATGTAATGAGAAAAAAAACACAATAGGCATGCAGTCGTCAAGTTTCCGACAGCGAGGGAAGTACTGTCTAAACTCTTTAGACCAATTTTTTCTGTAATGTAGATTTGCATGGCAGTAGATTAGAGAGACACTATCGTTATCCCCACGTATGAGTAAAATTTAATATAATTTTTAATTGATAATTCGTCAACCTCATGTAATACGATGGCGTCTGGCCAGTCTGCAATTCTTGTATGACGACAAAAAAAACGATATTATACCAGAAATGTTTGGATGTAATATTTTATAATAATTTAAACTGTGAAATATCTCAGGGACTTCTTAAATTATTATTTCAATTTAAATACATTGCAACTTGGAATTCTAGCATAAGATTTAAAAATTTTAAAAATAGTGTCGCTTTGGTAATAATCAACGAAATAATGTCATCGTGGATTTTATGCTGATTTTGTGTTGTTTTATGTGTTTTATGACTCCAAATTTGGAACATTGATTCTCGAACGTACCTCTCAAAACGATGTATAAACAAACCAAATGATATTTTGTGTTTTTGACCATATTGAACTTGTGTTTTATGTATTTATGTGTTGGGGAATTCGGTTGACAAATTCGGGCCAAGTCAAGATGGACAAATTTTTCCTCCGCATATCTCGTGTTGGCGGCCCACAAGAAACTGTGGCGTCGTCGTGGCTTCTCCATTTTTCTAACTACCAAACCAACTAAACAACCTAGCCAGCTTACTGCGTGCTTCCGTTCACATAACCAAACAATAGTGACGCGCCACTTACCCTCTACCAAACAAGTAAAATTCACTACCAACCCTCTTACTAGATACTAGAAACAAATTCCCCTAGAAAAGCTACCAACTATCCAAAAAGAACTAAATGTGCACATGGTTGCCTATACATATTTAACGATTTTCTTGATTGATTTTTTTTCAAATTTAAATTACTCAATTTTAATTCAAATCTGGTTACTACAAAACTGTTGACAAAATATGGCATAATTTAACTTCATGTAACATTTCTTGTTTAAAGTCCTTGATAGAGTGTGGCATAACAAAATTTTGGAAG